ACCCTTTAAACCATTGGGCTTAGAGATGGGGTGCTTTGTAAAGTAAAATGGGAAAGGATTTATTGACAACATTTTTTTGTATTTATAAAAAAAAAATTATAATAAAATATGACCTAATGTAATTTTTTATTGATTTTTTTAATTCAAGTGAGATTATTTATTCACTCACTTTATGCACATTGTAATATTCATTTAAAATTTTCATTATCAAAAATTAAAATCAAAGTAAAATTGTGTGTCATATTAAATACTATGCAAATAATTATATTCTAAACTGTTATTAAGATTTTTAAAAAATATTTTTTATGTTAGACTATACTTTTGTATTTAAATTATTAAGATGTTATTAATAAAATAATGTAAGAATAGGTTTCATTAAAAATATTTTAATAAATTCATAAATCCAAAAACACTTTCATTCTGCTATCTTATCTGAAAAACATAAATCTTTTAGATATTTAAATTTCAATTAATTAATGATCTCCATCTCATTGTATTATTAAATAAGAATTAATTACCTTTTTTTTTTTGAACTTTTTGTCATGGGGTGGGTTCGAAACCCGTTTAGAAGAGGAGGATATGTACTTTTTTAATGGTACTAGCCATTGGACCACAATGGCCAAGTGCAAATAAAAATTAATTACTTGTTTTCAAAATAAGGGGGTGTACGAGCTAAATATTCTAAATATAATAAAAGTGGGCACTAGATTACTTTTAGTTGACCGTTGATGCATGATTCTGGTTATCAAACAGGTTTAGGCAGATCATAATCTAGTTCAATTTCCATTATATCTCCGAAGGCTTTCAACCATGTCTTCCCGAGAGCATTTTCCCAAAGACTTGAGGTTTGTCATTGGTTAAAACTTTACTTCGGTCCTTTTATTTTAACAAAAAAGACTTTTTTTTATCCTTGTGTTTGAGAAAGTCCCTTTTTAATTCTAAAGTTATTTATTTGATCCTTTTTAGTTCTAGGTTATCTTTTTTTTTTTCTTTTTTTTTTTTTTTTTTTTTTTTTTTTTTTTTTGTCTATGTGGCTCCTTTTTTTGATACAATTTGTCTATGTGGCTCGTTAATTGATGGAAGTTTCCTTTTATAATAACATGGGTATTTTAGAACGTAAAAAAATGCTGAGTTAGACAAGTGGTGGTATTCACACCAACTGCTCAACAAAAAAGGCCCTGTGAGTCTCATTAAAGCATGATTAACGAATTATCAATTAATAAAATTTAATTAGCCTTTAACTTTATCTATTCAACACCTAAATCAAAACTTAAAGATTAAAACTTAAGAATCTCTTCGTCTCAATCTCTTCTTCTCACTCTACGAAAATCATTCAACACTTGAATTTTCTCTGTGCAAATTCAATATTATCAAATTATTATCACTTCAAATTTCAACAATTTTCATTCAATTCATTCATTCTTCTAATTCAACACCAATTGCAAATATCAAATTCACCATAAATTTTTGTCTTATTTTTCTATACAAATTTCAAATTTCAATTCAAATTTTTTCACTCCAAATTTGTTCTTCTCTTCTAATAAATTCCATCATTCAACTCTGGACTTACAAAAAAAACCTAGAATTGTAAACGCAAGAAACCCACCCAGAAGAGAAAGCAAACTCAACTCTGTCATGCCTCCAAATCACTGAAAATCACAGCTAATGACCCATATTCAGCTCACCAATGACCCATCACAAATGAATGTAAAGCCATAAGAGATGAGCCGTCAAAGATCTATGAATCAAAATTCAAACAAAGAGCAAGAACCCATGCACACTCTATTGAATAATCCAACAAATTGATACAAGGAAAAAATCCAATTTATCCACAAATCAAAACAGAGATCTTGAGTTCTTAGAAAACCCCAAGAACGTAGATCATAAGTTCTCCATAAAACCTAATCGGAGAACCTAGCATTCTTCAAACAAAAGCAAAGGAAGAGGGGGAACAATGGAGGAGGAACCCAATAATCCAAATCATTGGTTCTCTAAAAAACCAAATAGAAGAACCGATCTTGTTTTTGCATAAGAAAATGGTGGAAGGAGGGGCAATGATAAAGGAGAAGGAAAGAAAAAGGAAGAGACAAAAAAGGAGGAAGATAAAGGGAAGAGCCTAGCAAAGCCTAGTCGATGGTCGCTTAATGATGGCTACTTGATGATGGCTACCATTTGGGGTCATCCATGTAGCCTAGATCTGGTGAAAGAAGAAAGGAGAAGATGAAAACAGAAAAAAGGAAGGAGTAGGGTTGAAGAAGAAGAGTTTGGGGCAAATTTAGGATTCAAATTTTTATAATTAATTTTTAATATCTAAATTAATATAGTTATGTGGCTAAAATTCCACCACATATTAAATACTTTAAGTGAAATGTTACCTCAGCATATTTTATTACTGTACATTTTCCTCATCATTTATCTAAAATGAAGAAAAGAGATGTCTCCGCTAATTAACGTTAACCTGACACATGCACAACTATCCAATGGAAGTGCTAAAAAATGGGTTGGATAAATAACTTTAAGGACCAAAAAAGAGTTTTTTTAAGTATAGAGAATAAAAATGTGTCATTTACCAAAGTATAAGGACCAAATCGGGTTTTAACTTTTGTTATTCAACGACCTCTTTTCTTCTTAATAGGACTAGTTGCTGGAAGAGAAACATGTTGAAGTAGAAATTGAACTAATTAAATTTCTGATTATGCCTTTCTTGTGTCTTCAGGGGAAGTATGTTGTAATGCTTGTGCGTTGGATTCTTGGAAATGGCTGTTCCTTCCATTGAACTGTATATTGACAATAGTGGACTATTATGGCTATTTGTTCCCACTAATTTGAATCTAGTTCTTAGCTATTTTGATGTTTGCATGATTTGGGATAAGGCATAAATTTGTTTGATTATGGTAATAATCTGACCTGATCTTAAACAAAGATTTATTACCATTCTTTTCTTTCTGAAAGAACTTATATATATGGTATACTTTCTAAAGAAATGTAAAGAAAAAGGATTTATTGTAGGAAAATGATGTCTGCACAC